CTTTGTCACTCAGGCTGGAGTGCAGTGGTACAAGCATGGCTCACTGCGGCCTCAACCTCCCAGACTCAAGCCATCCTCCTTCGTCAGTCTCCCAAGTAGCTGGGACCCCAGGTGTGTGCCACCATGCCCAGCTAATTTTTTAAATTAGGCCCAGATTGAAAATGTTCCATGTGTTAACAGTCAGTGTTTTCATTAGCACAGGGGTATGCATCCTGTCCCCTCCTCTCTGCCTTCTTCCAAACCTTCCCCATCTACTCCTCAAGGCTTATCAATCCTCCATCTGCACCTCCCAGCACTTGGGTCTCTTGTTCTCTTCTTATTAGCTGAACACTTACTCCCTTTTCTGACCTCCTCAGGCTCCAAAGTCCTTTAATATTGCCTGGATTTTTTTTCCTTTTATGCCATCAAATGGCTTCCTGGAACAAGTCTGTTTTTCCTCCTGGTAAGTAAGAACTATTCAGAATTTGCCGAGGCTCATGCCTGTAATCCCAGCACTTTGGGAGGCCAAGGCTGGAGGATTGCTTAAAGCCAGGAGTTCAAGACAAGCCTGGGCAACATAGCAAGACCCCATCTTTGTCAGGCATTTAAAAAATGTGCCAGGCATGGTGGCATGCACCTGCAGTCCCAGCTACTGGGGAGGCTGAGGTGGGAGGATTCTTGAGCCTAGGAGTTTGAGGCTGCAGTGAGCTATGATCAGCCTGGGTGACAGAGCAAGATCCTGTCTCTAAAGAAAAAAAAAAAAAGAACTGATCAGAAGTTCCTTTGCCTCCTGGAGCTAAGCATCTTACCCATACACACAACAAATGATGAGGACAACATGATTTTTCAAATATTAATAGTTTGATTGCTAATTTTCTTTAATCTTTTTTTTTTTTAAACAGAGTCTCACTCTGTTGGCCAGCTTGGAGTGCAGTGGTGCGATCTTGGCTCACTGCAATCTCCGCCTCTTGGATTCAAGCGATTCTTCTGCCTCAGCCTCCCGGGTAGCTGGGATTACAGGTACCTGCCACCGTGCCTGGCTAATTTTTTGTATTTTTAGTAGAGACACGGTTTCATCATGTTGGCCAGGCTGGTCTCCAACTCCTGACCTCAGGTGATCCACATGCTTCAGCCTCCCAAAGTGCTGGGATTACAGGTGTGAGCCACCACACCTGGCCTTTTCTTTAGTCTTGATGTGCCACTTTCATTGACCTATTTAGGCTTTAAATGACATGAGGGCAGAACTACCTCTGAACTCCCTTTTCCTCCAGTAGGTTCTGAACACGTAAGTACTGATTGTTTCAATGCCTATAGGATATGCTAAACTGTAGGTGGCCACTGGCAGCTCACAAAAAAATGTGATTTCGTTTGCCCACCTCAGTGTTTTTACTTTTAAAAATGATTTTGGAATACATAAACATCAGGCTTCACATAAAACCCCAAATACATGGCTTCTGCTGAAAAATATGAGGATCTCGCCACACTGATCCCACCTTGCCACATAACCACTGCGGACTGAACTTCACCACCTCCGGGAGGCACAGGGTGCACGGGTCCCCATTTCCCACAACCCTTACCTGACTTTTATAATTGAAGACAATTAGCTTGGCATCTCTAAACACTGAATTCTCAACTCTTGTATGTAAAACAAAAAAACAAAAACCAAAACGGTCTATGAGATTGGAAGGATACATCAATTCTATTGCCACGCCTCTTTAATGACTGCACCCCTAAATCCACTGATTTTACATTCTTCGCAGGATATGATCCTGGCTTAATAAATGCTTACCATAGCCATTTCCAGGAGCATCGGGCAGAGAGTGTCTATATGAGTTTGCCATCTCCATGGATGCCATTTCAATCCTTTCAGGGTAATCTTCATTCTCTCCCCAAAGGTTGCCCAAGGAGCCATCACTCCTGTGATGATTTGAGGGCTGGATTGAAGATGTTCTGCTGAGCACCCTAAAATCCCAAAATGATGGATCACCATCCAACCAGGAGTATGGTAAGGATTGTCATGCATGTATCCATCCATCCATCCATTTATCCATGTATCCATCCATTCAATCATGTATTCATCCATCCATTTATCCATCCATTCTTCCATTTACGCATTCATCCACCCATTGATTCATCCATTTATCCATCTATCCATCCACTCATCCATCCAACCATACATACATTTATCCATCCATCTATCCATCCATGTATCTATCCATTCATTAATGTATCCATCCATATATCCATCCATTCCATTCCATTCCATTTCACAAATGCAGACTAAATGCCAATCCTGAGTTAGGGATGGGCTAGGAAGTGAGGATATCAAGAGAAAAACATGGGGCATCTGCCCTCAAGAAGCTCCCAGTACAAGTTGGTAAGGCTCCTTAGACACAGCTATGAGAAATTATACTACAAGTAGAAACTGATGAGTATCTGAAGACAGGCCCAAGGAGTTCAGAGGAAAGACTTGACCTATTTAGGCCAAGTAAAGAGAATTTTGGGAGAAATCTACATGGAAAGAGACATGTGAGTGGGGATTTGAAAGGATACATAGCGGGAGGGCATTCTAAGGATGAAGAACAGCATAAAAAAAGGTGTGAGGCCAGAAAGTGCTGAATATATAAAGGAAATGCTATGAAAATCAATTAATAAATAATGATTCTTAATTTAATACATATACAAATTCCCAAGCTTGATCCCAGATAATTAAATCAGAAGCTCTGAAGGTTGGGCCCAGGCATCTGTATTATTTTTAAAGTTCCCCAGATAATTGGGTAACTCTAAGGACCAGCCAAAGTCAAGAACCACTGACCTAGAGTATAGGGTCAAGGCGGGGGGCAGACAGGAGACATAACAGGAGATCAGTCAGGCTGGTCTTTGGCTGGCGTCCTACATTAACACAACATATCCTTATTCATAAATGTTCTATAAGTGAAGTTGGGAGACCTTTCTCCTGAAGGCTATGGGGACCCACGGACAATGAAAAGCAAAGGAGTGACAGGATCAAAGGTAGGCTTTGGAATGATGAATCAGGCATTGGATAATAGGAACAAGATGGACATTTTCACCCGGTCCTGTTAACCCTACTATTTGGGTTCTAAAGACATCGTGACTGCTGCACACTCAAATCCTATATCCTTGTTCCTAAAGATAAATACAAGCCACAAGTTTTTAAAAAATTAAATTTATAAACATTACTAGTAGAAACAGTAAATGCAAAATCAGACTCATATTGGTTAACACTTCACATGGTAAACATTGTTATTGATGAAACCACAAACTGACTTTAAAAAATCACATCCTAGATCGGGCACAGTGGCTCATGTCTGTAATACCCAGCATTTTGGGAGGCCAAGGCAGGTGGATTATTTGAGGTCAGGAGTTCAAGATCAGCCTGGCCAACATAGTGAAACCCTGTCTCTACTAAAAATACAAACAGTAGCTGGGCATGGTGTTGCATGTCTGCAATCCCAGCTACTTGGGAGGCTGAGGCAGGAGAATCACCTTGAACCCAAGACACGGAAGTTGCAGTGAGCCAAGATTGTGCCACTGCACTCCAGCCTGGGCTACAGAGCGAGACTCTGTCTCAAAAAAAATAAATAATTAAAAAAATAAATTACATTTTGCTAGGAACATGAACATGAAAAAACTTAACCCAGAAAAAATTAGATTTGGTAGAACTAAGTCACCCAAACTAATGCTGTCAGTGGTAAAATTTGTCAAGGAACAAAAATTGACAGAAGATCAAAATCTTTTAGACAAAATTTAGATATACAGACTCTAAACCTGGAAAAACTGGACTTGCTATTTAAAAACAGCCTTAAAGGAATACTGAAAATGATGAAAACTATAATTGATAAAATTTAATTAAAATAGTGCAGATAACTGGTGAATCAAATCTGCAGTAAAGTTTTGGTGAAAAGTCAATTCTGACAATTTCAGTAAAATAGAAGTAAAAGTGTAAAAATCGAAGTGATAAAAACATGGCTGGGCATGGTAGCTCATGCCTGTAATCCTAGCATGTTGGAGCTCAGGAGTTCAAGACCAGCCTGGGCAACACGGCAAAACACCGTCTCTACAAAAAATACAAAAATTAGCTGGGCATAATAGGTGCACACCTATAGTCCCAGATACTTGGGAGGCAGAGGCGGAAGGATCAATGAACCCATGAGGTTGAGGCTGCTGTGAGCTATGATTGTGCCACTGCACTCCAGCCTGGGTGACACAGCAAGATCCCGTCTCAAAAAAAAATTAAATAACTAACTAAATAACAACAAAAAAACCCCAAAGAAGTGGCACAATATCTTATTAAAAAAAACTAATTGACTTCATGGAATTAGATCTCCAAAATATTTTCTGGATAACAATTCATTACTGTTGATGTAATTCTGACTAAAGTGTTTGGATTTATAAGTGTCAAGGCTTAACCCTAAGCCTGTTGGCAATGTAGTAGGGTCAAAACAGTGTGGATCTAGATGTCTTACAGGGATCGAATTAGGAAGAGGTGGGATAATGGAAAGGTGATCCAAGCAAGAAGTGGTGGAAGATTAAGTTCAGGTAAGGGCTTGAAGCCTCAAACTGAGAGTCCATGAGCAAGGTGAGTTCTACAGGTAGATATGCGAGTTTCACCGCAACTTCAGGTCATGGAACCGATCATATATATCCATAATCTAAACCACACACCAAATTCCATTGACTTGATGATCCAGCACTCAGCCTCCACTCCCAATGAAGCGATATATACCAGAACTTACCGCCTGGTCATCTTTGGGGTCTCAGAAGAGCCATAATCATAACCATTCTCAGCATCTGAATAATCAGGTTCTCCCCAAGCGCTTGATGAGTTCTGATTGTCCTCAGTTCTGGGATAATCTGGCTCCCCAAAAAAGGGTGGAGAGTTAGGTTGAATCTCAGCACCTGGATAATCAGGCTCTCCCAGAGAATCTGTATACGGATTGATTCTGAAACCTGTATGTTTTAGATTCCTTCTGGAGCCTGGATGGTTCAAGTTGGCTCTGGGTCCAGGATGATCAGAGTTGCTCTGAGCTCTAGGGTAGTCCGGTTCTCCTAAGGAGCCAAAATAATCTGGATGTGTTCTGGAACCTGCATAGTTTCCACTGCTGCTGGAGCCTACAAAATCAGGATTTCGTTGAGATCCAGGGTAGTCTGGCTGTCTGGATGATGGTCGGTGGTACGGATGGCTCTGAAATTCACTATAATCTGGCTCTGGTAGAGAGACAGGATGGTCTGGGCTTGTTCTAGAGGTTGAAGAGTATGCATCACTTCTGGTACCAGAATAGTCTGGATTACTCAGAGACCCAGGATAGTCTGGACGTTCTCTGGAGTCTACAGAGTATGGATTGTTCCTGGTGCCGGGGTTGTGTGGATTGTTTGGAGGACCCAGAGCATCTGGATAACCCTGAGTTTTCAAATACCCTTGTGTACGGTTCGGAGACCTTGAATAGTCAAGGTAATCTGGGTCTTCCTCAAACCCGTTATTCCTGTAGTAGGCAGACATGTTGGTACGGACTCTTCACCCTGGACTGGTAAACTGTCCCAGCATTTGCAATTACTCGGGGATCTTTTTTTTTTTCACCTGAAAAACAAGAAGAAAAGAAAAAGTCAGATTTTTTTTCCCTTTCTTCCCTGCAGAGATGGCTGGTTATCTTCCAGTATCTGCTCTCCTTTCATTCATAGTGGAGCATACAACTGCCTAGAATAAAGATTATGTTTCTAGCTTCTCTTGCACCAAGGCATGAACATGAGGGTGGTCAATGGGATGAGGACGGCCGTGATCCACACAACGTCCAGGCTGAGCTGTTAGAAGGAAGAAGTTATTCTCCCCTTTCCCCATCTTGCTTCCTGTGGGCTGGAATGTGGAAATGACGGTGCACCATCTTGGGTCATGCACATGAAGCCAAGACCCGCATTTGGAATAAATACTCAACAGAGGGAAGGTTGCTGGGTTGCTGATGACTTACTTCACAGAGCACAGCTATTGTATCAGCTCAGACTATCATGTGAGAGAGAAATAAAATTATCTTGTTTAAACCACTGTTTTTGTAGTCTTTAAAGACCGCATGGAACTAAGCTTACCTCTTGAACAATACATTCCTTTGGTTGTAGGGGAAGAGAACAGTGAACCAAAGGATTCAAAGATACAAAGACTTTTTGCACTTTTTGATTACACTTGAGGTTTTAGGGGTCAGAGCCTAAATTAATATCAGTACATAAAAGAAGAATGGTTAATGGAAACTAGAGGACTGGGCAAGTAGACAATTGCTATGACCCCTTCCAATTTGAAAGTAAGATTTTATGAGCTCCATAAGCTCTGATCTATAGACTACAGCATACTTGTGTTAAATTTAGCCCAAAGCTACCTCCTAACATGTTTTAAGTTTGGCCTAAAGATTTCTCTGTACGTAATGAACTGTGACCTAACTGGAGGTGTCAACAGACTGTAGCCTATTCTTGTACCAATCACTGAATTTCAGCCAATCTCAGGCAGCTAATTGTTCAAACTGTGTTCAAATAAGGCAAATGCTGAGGCTCACTGGGCAAGAGGTGCTCTTATTTCACTGGGGTGGCTAAGAGGATAGAATATATCAGTAAGTCTGGAGCTTCCGGCATCGTGCCAGAGGGAACAGAGTAAAAAAGGAATCAGTAGGGGAGAAAATTTAAAGAAAGGATCAACAGGATTTGTTGGCTGATCCATTAGGGGAAGGGTGAGAAGGAAAATAAAAGAAGCATATCTCTACAGTTTCAAGCCAGCATGATGAGAGGAATGGTGATGTTTCTGAAAGGAAGTAGAACATTTTTAAAGCTCGGCCAACTTTTACAAGTTTATCTCTATGTAAATGACAAGGGTTAGACTTGAGTAATCAGAGCTAAGACAATATTAACTTTCTGCCAACACCTGTGGTCTCAGAATGCTCGTGTGCCCACCCACGCCCATATTTCTCAGCATAGTTAACATCTCAACATGTGTTTTATGATCGTGTCCTGCCCAGCATCCACTTCTCTCTTTTGTAGTTAACGATTTTCCTCGGGTAACATCTCTCCCACACTGTCAGTCCCTGTGGGCCACCAGTGGGATATTGTGACACGGTAAAAGTCCCATAAAACTGCATACCTCAACCATACCTCGGCTTTCTGTTGAAACTGCTCTCTGTAACCCTGATGTGACAGGCAAGCAGTCCAAACCCATGCCATCTTGGCCCCTGCGACTTGTAATAAGTAACTGGGAGAAATGCCAGATATAGGTGAAGGGGAGGAAGGCAGCAAATCACACTGCCAGGTGTGTACCTATGCTACAATATTGCATGTTCCTTACATGTAACCCAAAACCTAAAATGCAATAAAAAAAAATAAAAATAATTAAAAAAAATAAAAGTAACTAAGGTCTGTAATTCCCAGCACTACCCAGACAATGTGTAAACTAATGCTTATCTTGACTTCTGTAAACCACTTAAGTAACAATCGAAATATCCAAAGTACCTTGGCCCTCAGAATGTCTGGAGCCCCTCACCCTCATCTCCGCCCAGGAGGTGATTTACTGAATCCACTGGCCCTGGGAATGTCTGAACCCCCTCACCCCCACCCCTGCCCCTCACCCTCACCCCCGAGGTGGTTTACGGGCATAAAATGTCCTGACACCCTCCTTTCGGGGCCATTGGTTAGAGAGACGTTGAGTCCTCCATGGCCGCCAGCAATAAGGACCCTGCAATTTGGCGTACTTTTGTCTTGGTGTTGATTTTCTATTCTCGCTCCAGTACAACAATATGACCCATCAGAATTATTTTCTTCCTGGCGACAGTGATTCTGTCAGAACATACAACCAAGTTAAAGTCACTGAGATTCAATTCTGGGAGTTTTATCAGAACTGTAAGGAAGAGGGGAGATGTCTTCTGCTGGCCTTGGAGTTAGGAAATTTTACTTTTTGAGACAGAGCCTCACTCTGCCATCCAGGCTGGAGTGCAGTAGCATGATCACAGCTCAATGCAACCTCGACCTCCCAGGCTTAGGTGATCCTCCTCCCTTAGCCTTCTGAGCAGCTGGGACTACAGGTATGCACCACCATGCCCACTTAATTTTTGTACTTTTGTAGGGACAGGGTTTCACTATGTTATCCAGGCTGTTTTCAAACTCCTGGGCCCAAGCGATCTGTCTACCTCGGCCTCCCAGAGGGTTAGGATTACAGGCGTTAACCACTGCACTAGCCAGAGTTAGGAAAGTTTAAACCGGAAGCTGTCAGTGGTCACCAGTGGAGAAGGGCCTAAGAGTGATGCCAACAGGGAGGAAAGCAGAACCAAGAGATAAACAGAAAGAGGATCAGATGTTGAGGACATCATTAAACACCTGAATTCAGCCATACCTGAAGGCAGCTGGATACCTGAGTCATTACATTCTCTTTTGAACTAAAGTTGGTTTGAGTTGGGTTTCTGTCATTTGCAAATGAAAAAGAATTCTGACAAATATGCGAAGTTTTGCAAACAGGAACACCTTTACAAACTGTAGTGCTAAGAAGACTAAATGCTGTGCTTTATTGCAAATTACTCTCCCTAACATGAAAAATGATCCTATTTGTTTACTTGTATTCTAAGACTAGAAAGTTATATTTATGCTCCAGAAACTTCAACAGCCTAACAAAACTCAAAGCTATTACATCTAACCAGCTAAATGATGCCTAGTAAATTCAAGAAATTGAAAACAGATCCAGCTGTATTGGCCCAAGAGAAATGAGTACTTCTACCAAAAGACAGGAAAAACGTTCACAGAAACTGTCTGTCCATCCATCCGTCCTTCCTTCCTTCCATCCTCCCTCCCTCCTTCCTTTCACTCTTTCCTTCCTTCCTCTCTCCCTCTCTTTTTTCTTTCTTTCTTTCCTTTCCTTCCTTCCTGCCTCCTTACTTTCTCTCCCTTTCTTTCCTCCCTCCCTCCCTCCCTTTCGTTCATTCATTCATTCATTCATTCTTTTACCCACAAAGTTCAAAAGCAGGCAAACTAATACATGGGGACAGAAGTCAAAATAGTGGCTACCTTGGGGAAGGAAAGGGGTGAGTGCTGACTAGGAACTGCATGAGGGAATCTCTGGAGTGCTGGCTGGTGATCTTGGTGTGGTTAAAGGGAGGCATATATATGAGTGTGTGTGTAAAAATCCATCAAGTTGCACACTTAAGAGTTGTGCCCTTCTCTGTAAATATATACTCCTAAATTTTAAAAAGAAAATGAGAAACCAGAAGTTGTAACATAAAAACTTCCATTTCTCCCAGGAGCCATTATACCAGTTGAAAAAAGTGGTAGTGTTTTGGCTCACAAATATTTCCAGTTTTCTTATACATAAATCAAAGAAAATCGGCACTAATGAAAACAAAACCTAGGTGAAGACAGGTCTCCTAGGTGAATATACATTACCTGAATGGAATCATCTGTCTATGTGATGCTATGAAATGAAAGTGGTTAGGAGCCCAGCCCTTGGTATCAGATAGAACTGGGCTTAGTTTCCATTTGCTGGCTGTGTGGACTTGGGTAAGTCACTTAATCCCTCTGAGTCTGTTTCCTCAACCATACAATACTGACAGTAATATCTCATAGGATTGTTGCAAGGGATGAACAAAATAAGGCATAGAAGGCAGCCAGCATCAAGCAAGCAGTCATTGAATGGAAGCTATTATTTGCCATTATTTTTATTTATGTGCAATGTAAACCCTGGCAACTTCCAAAAGAGATAGGAGTCAGTACACAATAAAAGTCATGCACTCAACCAGGACATGATTAAAGAAATAGGAAATGGGCCAGGCATGATGGCTCACATCTGTAATCCCAGCACTTTGGGAGACCAAGGCAGGAGGATTGCTTGAGGCTAGGAGTTTGAGACCAGCCTGGGCAATATAGCAAGACCCCCATCTCTACCA